TACAAGTAATTTTTAACGCAATCTTACACGATAGAAAGAATGTGACTAAGAGAGAGTGCGACGTCAGCCCCATAGCTTCTGCCAGCGACCTGCTCGTGGAGAAGTGCCCCTTCTAACATATTGTGCCTCCTCGCTCGCGCTGGCCGAGCAAGAAGTAGCGAGGGTTCGAAATGTTGCAGGAAGGCCGCCTGAAAGTGAAAAACCCCGTCTCGAGTTTTTTTGGCTTCGTCCGCTTGCATTTGCGCTGAGAGTAGAATGTCCCTCCTGGTATTTCTTTGGTGTCGAACATACATTGTTTTGGATACAAATTTAATGAGAATAATGTTGGGGAATGTACTTCGAAATGGAATGTTGTACTCTCCTCGAAAAGTACCGGAAAAAAATACTTTGAATAGTAAGGTACAAGTGCTCACTCGGAGAATGCACGACGAGTAAAGGGCAAGCTTTTTAAATCTACTCGAAGTATAGTACTTCGAGTACTTCCTGACACTACATTTCTCATAGACGATAGGCAGATTTGATCTCACAAACACCGCGAAACCTTTGCTCAAGTAAAATGCATCTCCGGGGCCACCTCATAAATAGCGGCAGCGCGCTCTCCCGTCGTAAGAGATCCGCAGAACTCACTCTAAAAAGAAACGCGGGCGTTTGAGATGATTTTAATCGGAAAAGCGTCGACCTTCCCGTGTTGCAGCCGGGAGTCCGAGAGCCGTCCCGGCCTGTACATCGGGGCGGAACCCGCGAGCACGGAGTGCGGCTACTTCGAGATGGAGCTGCTGGACCTGGGCTCCGGGCTTGGAGACCTGCTCATGGGCTTCCTCTCCCCGGCCGACACGGAGGGCTCTTCCGACCGGCCCGACTGGGAGTCGGCCCTCTCGCTCGGCTGTCGCATCAGCCGGGGACGGTGAGCAACCAGCACGCCCTCTCCCCCCGCTCGGCACTCGAAGGGGCGGAGCAACCGTTTCCCAACTTTGTCAAACTAATTGCAAAAATCGTTCTACAGCGGGCCCACGAATCGAGACAAAGCCTTTAAAGCAAGGACACGGCCCCAGGGGTGACCAGAGTGACCAGAACGGCTGTTGGCACAGAGGCGGCTCTCCTTCTCGTCCAATAGCATATCTTTGTTTCAGTCGTCGTTGGGGGCGTGTTCTTTCACACTTCCGGCTTCATCTTTGGTGGCGTCGTGTCACCTCCGGAAGCTTCGTACCTCTATGCTTTAGAGTGATTGCATAAATCGGCTCGGCGATGTATTGTGCGACGATTTACTGCGGACATGCCCAAATGTGGTGGAAGCGTCGCGTGAAAACTTCAAAGAATGAACTTTCCCGAGTAAAAAGTAGAAAACCAACAACTAGACTTTTCTACTTATGGTGCCCGTCTGTTGACTGCACACTTTCTGACTGGCGCAACAACCGACAGATGGCGGCCTCGGCGGCTCGGCGGCGGCTTACTGCAGCTTGGCAACCTCCCGCCTTGCCAAAAGCAGACAATGGGGAGCCGAAATTTCTCGACGAACCGTCTGTTTTATTTGTTTTGTGTCCACTTAATATGTTTTATTGGGAAGAAAAAAAAATTGTGCACTGACCATTGCAGCCCCCAGAAAGAAAGCGCCGTTTACGATGCGGAAAGGTTGTCCGCTTTTGGCGCGATCGGGTGGCTGCCGAGTCGCCATATACCGCCGCTGCCGCCGTCTGTCGGTTGTCGCACCGGTCAGAGAGCGTGCAGTTAGCAGACGGGAGCCGCAGGTAGAGAAAAACTGTTACTGTTTTATTACTTTTTATGCCAGTAAGTTTGTTGAAATTTGATGCAATGCCTCCACCACCCGGGCACCTCTGCAGTAAATCGTAGCACAATAGGTTACCAAGCCGATTTATACGGTCACTTAAAGGCTTCATTCAGGTTTGGGACCCTGCTATATGCTGCTTATAGAATTCAAAACAGGAAACTATTTTTTCTCGCATGCGCAAGTTTTTATTTTAAAAAAAAATTATGTAGCGAAGGTTAAAGTACAGCGTTTGGTTCCATCTTCGTGACGCCCAGGCCTGCCTCTGCAATTGTCGACTTTTCGAGGTCCGATAGATAGCTTCATCCGCTTGGCATCATCAAAGGTCGCGGCAAAAAATCGAGAAAAAGAGTGTCCCCATGGAAAAGACAGGGGGGGGGGGGGGGGTAGTGACGGAGAGAAAATGGTTTCATTGACTTGTGACAGAGGGCACCACGAAGACTCGCGTCCACTGTAGTTCCGACGACCGCCACACGCGACTGCGTGTCAAGACGAAATGTTTTTATTTCCTTTGCAATTACGTGGCGCATTCACAGTATTTCGGGAAGAGGTGGCATGTGTTCTTTCACTTGTGCCGAGATAAACGATAGGAAAAACCAGTAGCAGCCAATTCTTTTGACATTAAAGTCTTTGCCCCTTTAGTCATCATCATCAACAGCAACGATGCTAAGGTTTTCTCTTTTGCAGCCTTTGGCAGGGAAAGAGCGGCGTCCCGGGTGTGGTGTGCAGTACGGGCGACAGGGTGGGCTGCGGTGTGCACCTGGGACAGGGGGACGGCCACTGCAACTGGCGCACCCTGGTCACCCTCTTCGTCACCCACAACGGCGCCGAGGTGGGCGCTCCCTCCCCACCTCTCTTTCGACAACGCCCCGAACGTCTCCCCGACCCACGCAATTACCGTGTCCCAAAAAGCCATTCTGCCGCGGGTAGCTCTCCGGCTCGACAATTCTCTGTAGCTTAGGCGGGCAGAGTTGGGAGGCTTGACGACGGCGACACCGCATTCTCTCTTGCTTTTGCCGCACTACGCCCACCCGCCAGAATTGCGGTGTTTGACAACATGACACTCCGGCTTCATTTTGACCATTTGACGATTTCCTTTTCCAAGTCTGAGAGGTCGTCGGGCACCTGAAAAAGACCACTTTGTCCGATTCCCTGACTCCCCTATCATCCTTAGTGCTACGTACTGCGAGCACCACCATGTTATTTGAGGGAGGATAAAAAGCCAGGAGGCGACATCACTTCCAAACCCCAATTTGCGGTATTTCAAAAAGAATGGCTTTAGTGCATTCTACGAATGCTGTTATTAAAGACCCCGATTTGCGGTATTTCAAAAAGAAGGGCTGTAGTGCGTTTGGAATTGCGTTAAGAAACGTGTTTTACGAATGCCGTTATTAAATATTCTAGAAATGTCGTTTACAAAGCCTCTAAGTTTCATAACCAGTTATGCCTCGAATAAAGGCGCGAGGGAAGTGTGCACAGCCACCGTCGCCCGCCCAGGTGGCCCGGTCGACGTCCCTCCTCTCGGGGGGCCTCCAGCCGGCCGTGCTGCTGCAGGGGGCCCAGCGTGTACGTCTGCTGGGCCAGGGCCCCTCCTCCTGCGGCCTGGGATCCGGCCTGGAGGATGCCCTCATGTGCGTCGACTCCCACGAGGAGGACTGGCTCAGGCTGCACGACGTCCGGCTCAACGGACCCGTGAGTGCGGGGAGGAGTCGTACCTGCAGGGGGTCGATCGAGAAAACGAAACCCGGTCTTTCGGCCCGCGCGAGTAAACTGTGCGTCGCAGGAAGCCGAAATTTTGTGAGTGTGTGACGTCAGCGGTGGCGATAAAAGGTAAACGTGTGAGCTCGTAATGTTACCTAAATCAAAAGATACAAAAAAAAAAATTAAAGGAAGTTTTATTTGTGGATTCTTAGTGACTGCTTTAGCATGTTCCTTGGGAAATGCCATGTGCATCCCCCTTTGAGAAACGTTAAAGGGATATTAAAACGAAATTTCAGCACTCATTTTTTGGTCTATATGTGTTCAAAGGAGCAGCATCACATCGAACATACCAATATCTTGTTAAAAAAGCAAGTTAAAAAGTTGTTAAAAAAGCAAGCAAGATTAGCAAAGAGCACGGGGTGGATGTCGCTAACGCCTCGCTTGTAATGCCCGTCTAGGAACCTTGACAGCTAGTGACGGAGGTTGTCTTGCCTTTGGCCACGACGAGAGAAAAGGGGCAGGAGGAACTCCCCTCTTCCCGAGAATGCCTTTTGTGTGTTGCAGTAGTCGCTATTGTCCCCCTACAAGATTACAGAAGATTAACCCGTCACTCAAAATTCGTACAAAAGCAGCTGATTCAGTGGCTGGAACGACTAGGCCATCCTCTCGACGTCAGCCTCGCCGTAGCTTTGCTCATCCTGAGACGACCTACGTCGCGATAGCGTTGGATGTCACGGGGTCTCCGCTGGGCCTCCTCCGAGCGCTTGTCAGAGTGGGCCGTTTATAACGAAAAATACAGCCACCAGACTGAAAAATACAAACGTGCAATTGTCATTTATGGATATTGTGGATCATATTTCAAATTTCGTTGAAGTATCCCTTTAATGCTGACCCCTTCACTTTTCTGTTTTGGCCTTCACTTTTGCTTCCTCTATTTTTTGCTGCCTCTTTTTGGCTTCATCACGGGGTCAGTGCTGGCGTTTCCGAAATGAGGGACGTGTGTGGTGTTTCCCATGGGTCATGCTAACAGGTTCCCCAAGAATCCACCAAAGGATCTTCCTTTAATTTTTGTAGCACAAACCGAGGCATGCGTGCTCAGGTCAGACTCGCCCAGCGTCCGCAAGCGCATTGGCTTCCACCCCGTGACCCGCCTCCCTCTCGCCTTTGTCCTTCACTACTCTCCTCTGTACGCGGCGCGCTTTCCTTTCTGCTGTTTTGTCCACACACGGACGCCGTCAGCTTTTCCCTGTCATGTAGGCGCCAATGCTATCGCATTATAAAAAAATTCTTTTCTATGAGCCAATGTCCACTCAAGCCTACTATTTGTCAAACTGAAACTTCGAATATAAGTAAAACAATATTGTTTTCTTCCTTCCTGACCAGTTTTCTTCGCCGCGATAAATGCTCTGGGCGCACGCAATCTAGAATTTTGGATCAATGAATATTAGGCTTAGGTGGACGTCTCTTAGAGAAATTTTGTTTCTCTTTTGTATCTTTCGATCCAGGTAATGTCGTGTGCTTCAACTTTTGCATTTTATCACCACCACCAGCATCGCATTTTCACATAGTTTCAGCTTTCTACGCTACATACCTTTTGTATGCGGGCCGAAAAACCGGGTTTCGTTTCCTCGATCGATTCCTGTAGACTTATTAATGTATAGTGCGCAGCGCTCTTCTGGGTTGATTCTGAGATCTGTAGACGGAGTTAATGTTGACGACGGTGGTCCCTTTCTTTGTGAGGCTCCGCAGACTCCCGATGACTTGGATGATGTAGTTGAGGTTAAGTCGATTGAGGGTGGGGAGGAAATAACTTTATGCACAGGAAACTGAAATACTATACAGCCAGTTTTACGAGTCGAGAAGGGGACTTTTTGGATGCCCCGCGGACCATCTCGGTGGCCACTCGAGATAAGGCCTGCCCACCTAGCTCCAGACGAGACCGCCGCCGCTGGGGCAATGCTATTCTTAAATAGCCCGGCAGTTGCGTGGCGCTCTCTTTAGAGAACAAAACGCGTAGAAAACAACGCTCGATGCTGACATCTTTTGCTCTTGCGCTTTAAATCTGTTGTCACCTGGTCTTTTCTCTTCTCGTTCGTTGATTTTGACGTCGGGCCTCAAGTTCGGCGTTTTTCCTACACAAATGTGCAATAGCAGGCTGTTGTACCGTGTGCAAACATGGCAAGACACCCCCGCATGTGTGATGCGAGTACGGCGAGCCCGCTAGGAAGGGTAACCTGATACATCGGAATCCAATCGGTGCTAGCATTTACCGTGGCTTAGCGGAGGCATTCCTTACCCCCGAACTAAAACAAACGAAAAGCGATGGCACTGAACCTCGCCGAACCTTGCAGTCGGACACAAGTTAACTTTTTCGTGGTCCGGTTTCCTTTTTCCAAAGGGATAGTGCCGTATTTTCTGGACTATAGTCCACGGACTACACGTGTCTAGAAGTTTAAACTTTACCCTGTGTGGACTATTCACAAACAGATTGCGAGGAACTGTTTTTTTTTTTTAATATAGTCGAATCTCAATAATTCAAACTTGCGGATAATTCAAACTAACATGCAGGTCCCATCCTTTGCGTCTCTATGGGAGGAAACTCCCGGTGTTTGAAACTTTGCATTATTCAAACAAATTTTCGGTCCCCTTCGAGTTTGAATTAACGAGATTCAACTGTATTCATATGACAAATTGTCATGATTTTTTTCGTGAATGACAGGTTATGTTGATAATGATTTATGTATGAAACGGGCTTCTTTGCGGGAGTTCTGGAAAGCTTCCCGATTGTCACTTACCACCAAAGCAGCCGACATCCAAAGCGACCATCTCGCGCATATTTTATGTACAAAGCGTCCAATTTTGGAACTATAAGTAACACCAGCAAGGCAAAACGGTGTGAATACAATGTTTATAGTTTCCCAAAGACATAACGGACCACAGCACCTCCCGTGGTGCATGCGGTTTGGCATTTAGGCGGTAACTTTCAAATGTGCGATCGCCGTCAGACGTGCATGGCAACGACCGTTGAAGGGTTTAGAATGCACCGGGAGCTCCTCCCACACCCTTATTACTGCCAGCCGCTGTCCCTCGCAATGCGGAGCTAGTCTGCTTCCAAGGTTATTGCGCACTGATACAGTGCGCAGCCATTTTGAAGATGTCGTGCCGACGTCTCATAACTCGTCACGGCCACTGCCTTTCCGAGTTAGTCCATGGAGTAATTCGACGCAGACGACATATTTATCTGCTGACAAACTGACTGACAGCTCATTTATAGGTTCTTTAGAAAACCTCTTTTGATTCGTTTACATGAGATTCCTTGAGGCGAGGCGATCCTTACGATCTCGGAGCACGACAATGAAGCAAAGGAAAAACAGAGCGGTCAGCACAGCGGCTGTGGGGTATGATTTGTCCGGAAGATTGTAGTTGCATCCAATTACACATCACAACTAACGGGAGTCAAAGGTTATGCCTAGTTTCAAAGAGACGTGGTTATTTCCTTGCTGACACCATTTGCAAAACAGTTGCTAGTGCCCCACGAAATTGGTCACATGACCTCAAAATTCCATATACCCACTGGAAGGAATAGGGGCATTTACCGGTTAACCGCCCCAGACGTCTTTATAAAAGAACGCCATCCCTTGCCAGGAATCGAAACCCTGGACCTCTCTCCATATTCCGAGGCTTGCCTCCACCATCGGAACGACTTGGATGAGTGTCATTGCAGTTGCTATGTAGTATTTGTGTTCAGCAAAACACTCGCAGTCAAATGATCACGGTGAATCATCTTATCTAATAAGCTATAGTGATGCAATCGTGTGACCTTTAGATGTCACGTGATTTACCAGAGTTATGCAACCATGTAATGTGATCGTGTCACATGATTTTACGTTACGTCACGCTCGCACGAGCTCATAGTGCGGCTTCACAAGAGGTTGCGATCAACTGTGAAAAATTCGCAACTTGTCTCAATTCGTTCCATAAAGTCGAGAGATGCAGATTGTGTTGTATGTGTTTTAACCTCTAAAACGAGTCTAAAAGCTCCAAAAAGACACACAACCGTAATAAAGCCGCAATAAATGTTCATTTAATCTCCCACAATCCTCCGTGCGTCGCCTTACCGCAGGTGCTGGAGTACTCTGGCCGGGGGGCCAGCATGGTGGACGTGGGACTGGCCCAGACCCGGTGCCCCCTCAATACCACCAGCCACTACTACGAGCTGGAGATCCTGGACCCCGGGGAGAAGTGCTGCATCGCCATCGGACTTGCCCACAAGGTACGCCTCGAATCCAGTCTCGGTTGAGGCGAGAGCGAGAGCTTTCTCGGCTGCCGATCGAACGTGGCATGGACCCCTTTGCTTTTGATGGGTCGTTGCCCTCAGCTGTGCAGTTTTCCGCTCCCCGTTTTCGTCGGGCGGACGCCACCCGCGGAGCGAAAGATAAAAAGATAAAACCTTGCAACTTTCAAAGCAGATGGTCATGGAGGATAATTTCTGTTTTATATGGACCCCAAATACAATGCAATGCACCTCCGTGAAAGCTGCGCCAGTCTCGACCGTACAGAATGGTTGACGCGAGACGGGCAAATGGCTGCCGTAAGGCCGTTCTCGTGTTGATTATTTGAGTCTGCCTTGGCCCGCAGAAAGAGGGTGAACAGGCTCAAAATGTAAGTGAAATTAACCGCATTTGTGTTTGCAGAATGTAATGTGATTTCTGGGAGATGATCGTGTCAAGCGAGAAATAAAGAAAACGATGGGCCAGGCAAGGCTTACGTCTACCGAATAGAATAGGCCGAAACGCTAAATACTTTCTGCCCCCCCCCCCCCTCCCCCCCTCCGCCGGTCACGTGGTATAAAAAGTCCCTCATTCCCGCCAGCGGGAATCGCCGCATTCACTAGCATACCGTCCCCGCGAAAGATTGAGGGTGGTACCGTTGTACACAGTTGCCAATTGCTCCTAGTTCAGAGGAATGTAATCCAAGTCAGTTGTTGTTTGTTTGTTCGTTCATTTATTTGTTTATTTTCGTTGCAGGACTACCCAAGGCACAGGCATCCGGGTTGGAACGAGGGCTCCATCGCCTACCACGCGGGTCTGTGCTCTCGTTTGTTTTAGAACCGGCATTGCTTAGAAGGCAGATTTGTCTTACCCACTACGTCGGTGTTGTTATCCCCTTTATGCTTGTTTGCTGTAAAAGGCCCACTACAATTTATTCAACGAGAATCTTTGTCGGCCTGGTCGGTGCATGATCGGGGAACTTGTTAAGTCCAAACAAAGATGGACAGAAAGAAGGGGACACTGACGAGCGCTTGTTTGTGCCCATCGCTGTTTGCGCGTTCGAGTTTCTTGGGCACAATTAATTCAGACTTTAAGAGACCAGTCAATTCTAATTTATTTATCGGAAGTTTGAATTGTCCACAGAATGGGAAGAATGGAACGCAATCACAAGTGGGGATGTCTAACTTTTGTCCAACCCTAGGTTCGACCGATTACCTTCTAAGTTTTATCAAAATATGAAAAAAGTTTGGCATCTTGAGCATTGTTCCCAAGTGTTTTACATGATATAAAACTAACTTGTAACATTGTACTCATTTCATTAGTTTATTTTATGTGTCCTATCAGTCTTCAATTGCCCTGTACTTGTATTGCATTGTGTAACCTATACTGCTCATGCTGTCTTGCCTCGTGACTGCTAAAATAAACAAATAAACACCCTCAAGATGTTGAACCTCTGTCTGACCCATGTGGGGACAAAAGCATAATCTGCATTTGAAATGGCGCAAAATCTAAAAACTTAAAACATGCGTCATTCTAACTCTTGGAATAGGGTATTTTGCGCCGGGCATCACTCTCCATTCAACGTTTAAGAATGAGGCGTGAGAGTTCTTACTCTCAAAGTTGTAACTCGACGATTTGTACGACTTTTCGCAGATGACGGCAAGATCTTCGTGGGGAGCGGCGAGGGATCCTGTTTCGGTCCCAGGTGCAAAAAAGGTGATCTTGCTTCCTCTTTTTCTTTGCATGTTCCATCACTTGTTTTTACGAGAGCTAGCGGCATCGGAAAGTATAATTTAAATTGAATGTTGGACTTATCCGCTTTGCGTGTCCCGTCAATTCGTCAATTTCATTGTAGCGGGATTCAAGAGTAATTGAATTAATGTGGTAGACCTCCACAGGTGTGAAAGTCTATCGAAATAAATTGATGTGTTGGAGTTGCTGCCTGTCTCACCTATAAGCTCCCAAAAGCATTTTCAGTTGTTGCATTTTAAGCGGGTCATACATTTGATTAGTGTGGTTTCCCCTAGTATTGTGTCGTAGGAGTTTACCATATTTTATTATGAGCTAAAAGCAGGTTCCATTTACAAATATCAAATGAAAAGTTCAAGTGTTTAATATTTTACGGCATACATACAAACAGCCAATAATGGGAGCAAGGTGAATGCGGGCCAGTGGCTGCCTATTTTGCTCCTATCAGCGATCTATCGAAGAAAGTTAAGGTGAAAAATTAGTTGAATCAGTCGAATCAGGGAAGAGTGCAACCTCTTACAAGAATGCAAAAGGGTGATTCTTATTGCATTTTAATTTCCTGTCCTTCTCTTGAGTAGGCCCACCCTCATAAGAAGAAATTGTTGCCAAAATTTCTGCACAGATTGTCGTTCAAATATGATAGCATTTTGTACCATCTTGTTCTAGGGTCATTCTCCTGAAATTTAAATATTAATGTGACTGTCAAGTAACTTTCAAACGCCTTCCTTCCATCATTCTTAAAATAGTTTGTATAGCATAGCATCAGGATGCCCTAAAAACAAATATTTGCAAGTTCTTATAATTAAAACTATTTCGAAAAAAAAAAATTAGTTTAGATTGTATCCTCTATGTAATTTCAGCATTTGTTTTGTATCTGCTAACTACCACACAAGTTTCAAAGGCGTAGACTTTTGTTGTAGCAAAGTAAACTTTTAGAAGTTTGACTTAAAGAATCGTACAGCTACATCAGCTCCCATTTATGATATGATCTGAGCGTCCAGTGTTGCTAAAGTATTTGTATTTTTTCGAATTTTAAAAGGAAACAAGTGTGACCGACCTGTATGCCAAAAGTATAACGAACAATATAAATGTTGTCATGCTTATTGGGGTGTGCTATATGGCCCACCCCAATGACTCTAGAAAGGCACAAATTAAAGGGTACTCCAGCTTTATCTTAAAGGCCCGTTCACACTCTTGCGCCCTCTTAAAACTGGGTTCCTTGAAACCTCTTACAACGCGAGGACACACTGGTGCCATCTATTGGGTAGCAGTGTAAACTTGGCGGTCCGGCATATTTTTTTTTTTCTTGCGCATTATCCTTTTTTTCTTGGCTCAAAAAACTTTTGTCAACGTTATAAACGAGCCTTTCTTATAGGCATTACGCACATTTGACCTCGGAAATCCCGCAAAACCTTCGCTCTTGTGAAATGCAGTTCCAAGGTCACCGCATAGATGGCACCAGCGTGCCAGTGTGTTCTCTCCGAAAAAATTTTAAGAGGTTCTAACAAGTCTCGTCTCTCTTGGTCGTACTTGGTTGCAAGGGTGTGAACGGGCCTTTATAGTCCCCAATGTGTCTAAAAATTTGCTAAACACACTAACAAACATTGCTAAAATAGTAGCCCAAATATTGGGCCAAAATGAAATTTTGGGTGAAGTTATTGTATTTACAATTTTGGTCCTCACCGTGTTTTTCAAAGTGAAAGTCCCTACTGGCAACAATTAAAAATTGACGTCAGGTGAAGGCTGGGTTTCACTCTTTGGACTGTAGACTTTGTTCCCAACTGATTACTAGCAGTTTCATAGTGTCAAATGAATGCTTTGGAGGCTTGATCCAGGACCGGCACAGCAGCACAAAACAAATGCTCAGCATAGTCCATTTTTAGACCGCCCGCTTGACCCACCAGCCTGGCTTCCCCTGACGTCACAGCAATGAAAAGCGCGGGTATATTTGAATGTTGGTTTTGGCATCATTTTCACTTGCCGATTGCACAAACACTATTCTGAATTTCTCAATACAAAGTAGCATATCTGAAAGGGTATAGCCCTGTGACGCCGAAAATAGTTAGTTGGGGTAGCCCCAAAAAAATGCCAAAGCGCCGCTTTAAGTAAGCTTCTATATTTGTTGTGTTACACAGCAAAAATATAGCCTTACTTAATTTGTGCCCCCCTGGAGTCATTAGGGGGTGCCATAGCATGCTCAACCCCACTTCTGTGCACACCTATGTAGGGGCATCGAAACATTGGTGGTTGAGAACCAATGCTCTAGCAGGTCCCATAGACGTGATCTCAATACATTGTGCGGCATCCTTAGGGGACGTGATGGGCTGCGGCATTCTGTTTCCCCGGGAGTATGTGGCCGAGGAGGAGGAGTGTGGGGCAGAGGAGCGTCTCCTGGACAACAGCCCCTGGTCCCTGGGGGGACCTGACGAGGACAGCGACAACGACGAGGGCTGCCACTGCTGGAGGGAGGCCGACGACCCCTTCGGGCAGGAGCCCCCTGATGCCATCCTGGTTCAGGTGAGGAAATCGAACGCTGGGGAGGGCCTGCGGAAAAGCCTGCATGTAAGTGGGCTAGCACTGGGAAAGCCTTGCTGATGTTTGTCAAGTAGCAGGAAAGGCCTGCAGTTAACGGTTCACACTGGGAAAGGCCTGTATATAACAGTGGGCTAGCACTGGGAAAGGCCCGCATGTGTTTGGAAAGTAATGGAAAAGGCATGCAGATAACAGTGTGCTAATACTGAAAAAGGCCTGCAGATGTTTGGCAAATAATGGTAAAGGCCTGCATATAACAGTGGGCTCACTGGGAAAGGCTTGCAGGTGTTTGGCAAGTAATGTAGGAAAGGCCTGCAGATAACAGTGGGCTAGCTAGTACTGGGAAAAGCCTGTAGATGTTTGCCAAGTAATAGGAAAGGCCCTCAGGCAACCTTTGGCAATGCTCGGAGAGGCCTGCATATGACGGTGGGCTAACAATGGAAAGGCCTGCTGATGTTTGGCAAGTACTAGGGAAGGTCTGCAGATAACAGTGGGCTAATACTGGGAAAGGCCTGTGGATGATTGTCAAATCATAGGAACGGCCTGCAGAGAACCTTTGACAAATGCTTGAAAGGCCTGCATATAACAGTGGACTAACACTGGGAAAGGCCTGTAGATGTTAGGCAAGTAATAGGAAATTGCTACAGATAACAGTGGGCTAATACTGGAAAATGCCTGTAGATATTTGGAAAATAATAGGAAAGGCCTGCATACAACACTGTTCTAGCACGGATGGCCTGCAGACAGCCTTTGGCAAGCACTGGGAAAGGTCTGCAGTTAACAGATTTAACAAGGCCTGCAGAAAACCTTTGCCAAGCACAGGGAAAGGCCTGCTCACCACAGGATGTTAACACTGGGAAGACCTGCAAACAGCCTTTGACAAGCACTGGAAAAGACATGCAAACGCTTGGCAAACAATAAGAAAGGCCTGCAGCAAACTTTGGGGGAGGCGTGTAGCAAAAGGTTGCTGCAGACTTTCGGCAACAATAAGAAAGGCCTGCCCCAACCTTTGGCAAATACTGGAAAAAGCCTGTGGACAAAGTTTGGCAATCACTGGGAGAGACCTGCGGACAACCTTTGGTAAAAGAACAATGTGCAACAAATTTAAATGTCCTGTAAACAATCTTACCCACTCTCTTCTTAAAACTGTGAGTTGGGCTAGTTGGTACTTATGCATGGTGGAAAATATGCCTAAAAAACACGGACAAAGAAAGAAGCACACAGGACGAGGCGTACGCTTCGTCCTGTGTGCTTCTTTCTTTGTCTGTGTTTTTTTAACCGCATTTTCCACCATGCTTACCATTCTCACCTCAATATTTTGCAAAGTGTAAGTTTCAGCAATATTTCGCAGGTCAACATTTTGAGATTTAAACTGACATGCTATACAGGAATTTTCAGCTAACAGATTCACCTGGTGGTCTAGTTAGTTGAACATTGTAACATGTAGAGGCGAAAGACAAGGGCAAGTAGAAGAGGGATGCAGGACAGGCACAGGATAGCGCCTGTCATGTGTTCCTCCTATACTGGTCCTTGTTTTTCCGCTACATATGTTGCAGTGTTTGAGCTAATGTGTGCCAAGACTTAGAGAAAGCTGGTGCATGCGATGCATGTCAGACTAACGCGGTATTGTTCACAGTCGTACTGAGCAAGTCAAGATATTTGTTGCAATGTGCCAAACGGACTGATTAATACAGATTAATTAGCTAACATTTATATATTAATGTGTCCACAAACTTTTTTATAGAGAAGTTATCGAGAGCGTTGAGAAACATTCGACCGTGTCGTTCGTTTGGGAATGGGGTGTGAATGTGGCATTTGTAGTTCCCCTAAGACATCCCGTATTTTCTCGCGTATTACCCGCCCCTGCATATGACTTGCACCACCAACTTACTACCCTCAGAAAAAAAAAAAAGCAAAAAGATGCCTTGCACAGTACCTGCACTTACCATGTAAAGCAGTGTCCAGGTCTTGCTCTAAACCCAACCTTTATTTTCAATACGCTCATTGCTGCAGTGACTGCAGCTATCTGAGGTGCCTTTATTGTCGCAGGCAGCGTCTTAATCCATGCCAACAATGTGCTTGCTGATGCAGCACTTTTTTAAACCGTTCAGCACCATCTCCTTTGGAAAGGTCGCAGTCACGCCGGAGCTCTGTCGATACAACATGACCCCGACGTCTTCTCTCCCCGATGAACTTTTTAAAAGCGCCTTTTCAAGCTCGGGGCATGCATTAGTTTTTGGACCACGGAACCATCTTCGGTCGTGGCTTGCAGTCTACAGGCCATTCTTTCTCCATTTTCACGCGTGTGACTCGTCGACATCGTAGCGGCCATAGTTTCGGCCTGCCACTCAATTTCGAATTTCTTCGGCAACAAATCCGACAACGATCAGATCCTTCGCCGAAAAGATTGGAAACTATGAAAATCGTTGCCGTCAACAGCAACTTACATTCGACGGGAACAATGCTTCACGCATTGTTGTCTAACGTGATTAGACGATAATGCGCGAACGTTGCTGCCGAAACCTTTGATGGCAACTCTTTGATAGCAACGTATGCACAATTTGTTGAATTTACGGCTCAGCTCGGCTGCTCGGTCCGCAAAAGCAATGCAAAGATGGCTACTCGAAAAAAGGAGAAGGTGGGAAGAAGGAAGTGCCTAAGAAAGACCGGAGAAGAGGGACTCCGAGAAAACTATACCCACGACTTCATGCGCATTGTCGTGAAGCCGTGCTTCACCTTTGATTCTTTATAAATTTTGATGCGGGTTATACGTGATAAAATACGGTACTAGATAACAGAACCTCCTGGGGTGGACGCATTTAGGCGGGAATTTTCAGGTGTGTGTAATAGACCCTTTTCAAAATTCAATGCCATCTGGAGGCTCAAAAAATAGTTTCACTTTCATCAAACTAATGGCAGTCATGGGGCTGTATTTCATTGGGCACCGTCACTTTCACGCATCAGTGGCAGATAAAAATTTGCCCTTCGACCATTTCATAATTCTTGCTTGATTTGTTTAAGTTTCAACGATGTAAACACAAGAACTGACCAGTACAGAGCAGCGACCCATAAGTAGACTTCAGTGCTTTTGGATAAATCCAAAATATTCTATAAACACTCCCCGGTAATATTTCCATTAATTCGGATTTATCCAAAGAACAAAAAATTTTGCGGGTTCGCCGCATTTCCTATGGAAATGCGGCAAACCCGAAGGTCTTTAAACAATACGGCACAGTTTCGCACGGGAGACAAGAGATGGTGCAAGCGGTCGCGACGCCAACTGCTGCCAACGAACGGGCATACGGCGCCGAAAGCCGACGTCTTTAGCAAACAATCGTTTCGACTCAAAAGCGGCGCGAGCTTTTCTGATATCAGTTGCCGATGCATTATTTTATCATCCTTACTGATAAAGCATATTGAATGGACAGATAATCGATTAGAAAAATGGTTTGCCGGGATATTTTGACTGTTTTTGTTCGGGGTACTGATGTCGTCTGCTTTGCAGTTCCTTGTTACCGCGCCTGTTTTTGTTTCTGCAACTGCCGCCGCCTGCGGAACGCGCTCCGCTTTTGAGTCGAAAAGGTTGTCTGCTAAAGACGCCGGCTTTCGGCGCCGTATGCTCGTTCAATGGCACAGTTGGCATCGCAACTGCTTGCGCCACCTCTTGTCTCCCGTGCAAAACAGCGCTGTATTGTTTTAAGACCTTTGGTTTTGCTGCATTTCCATAGGAGCTAAGGCTTTTTCTCTCTTTACTTTTTCCTCAGCTAAGTTCGCTCTTTGCAAATTTTACAAAAAAAAATGCACTATTTGTGGGCAACGCTGCACAAAGTCGTAGCGTGATAGTTAAGAAACCGAATTTGTGGTAGATTTAAACAGCCTGGCCACTCCTTGATACACCCAGTAGTAGTTGTGCTTCCTAGAAGGAAAGATAGTGTTTTTATACCGTTGAAAGCTGTGAACTTATAGATTTCGAAGGATAGGGAGGGCACCTGAATCGTTCATGCTTCCAAGCAGTTACGTCCAGGAGTTTAGTTATTTCAAAAGATGGACTGTTATTGAGGCTGCACTTTCTCGCAATATTTGTTGTGGGATATAGTTAGTATGTCAACGGCAAGGGCAAAAATGTCAAATGCAGCTGCAGAAGTATCATTTGATACAGGTGAGTTCTGATGAATTTGGGGTATGTCTGTGTGTGGACGTTTTATTTTGTAACGAAAATTTGAAAAATTAAGCACAATGTAAGAGACTTTGAATGAAAGAGAATTTGGAATCCGACAAAAAATTAATTTGATAAACCCCGAACTTTTAGGAAAAAATGAACTAAAAAAAAAAACCTCTGAATTTTACGAGAAATGAACTCCGACGACACTGAATCATACCCATAAGCCCATTGATAAAATTTCCGCCATCCGAGGGTTTTAGAACCAAAATCTTTCCAAAATAAACGCCTACGCAGCCTCATGCCAAATTTGTGTGTCACATTGTACCAACGTCTCGTACGATATTAACGAACACTCGTTAATATCTTTTTTTCCCTTCATCGGCCTCGAGAAGGCCGCCATTAGTTTGCCACAGACGCCGTACACTGAGACAACGGTAGCCACCAGGCCGAATTTCGAAAAAGGTCTATCGCCACCGTACTTCACGGTGACGGCTGCCGTAGGGTTAACGACGTTTGAACGGGTCTTAAAGGGTACTCCGGCCGTTTTGTGAGCTACCCCCAAAAAAATTGCATTCTCCGAATACCCGGACTTTAGTCTTCACGCTATGCTATTTATTGCCTCGAAACTCAAAATAGCTATTGACAAAACCGTAAATGAAGATGATGCCGAAACCAGCATTCAAATATCCGCACGTTCTCCAGTGGTGTGACGTCACAAATGGCACAGTCTTTCAGGTTGCGCAGGTAGTTTTAAACAGAGTATGTCGAGCGTTGGTTTCGTGCTTGTCAGTGAATGAGCTTCCGAGCATTGTTTTCCCACCATCAAACGTCTTGTAATCAGTTGGTTACATGATTTACTGCCCCCTTGGTACCATTTCCGTCGTCACACTTCAGTGTTGCCAGTGGGGGCTCTTGGTTTTGTGAAACACGATAAGAACAAAATGATAAAATTTTTTTTTTCTTTTTTTGACAAAATATTTGGGGGACTGATACAGCTGTGTCTATCAGTGTGTTGAGCCAATTTTGAGGCAAATGAACGCCCATAAAAAAATCTCTAGAGAACACCCCTTTAAAACCGACCCACTGCTTCTCCTTCGGCAGGTGTTCTTCACGCACAACGGTGTCAACGTGGGTCGGCGGGAAGTGGCACTTCCCCGCGGCGGTCTCTACCCGACGGTGGGGATGCTCAGCCGGAAGGAGAAGGTGAAGGTGGACCTGCACCCACTCACGGGCTGAGCGCCGCCCGCCTCCGCCAACTCTCCTGCGCCATCATCTCCGCTCCGAACTCTTGGGGGTGGGACCGATCGCTCCAGCGAGAGCCTCCCGGTTTTGTCGGACGTTTCGAAAATACCCTTCCTATAAACAAAAACTAAACTCCCAAAATTTTTTTTTTTTAAGTGCTCGGATAGGGGTTGTTACGTAAGTCACGTTTGGAGCGCGGGTTCTCGTACAAACTGCCAAATTTCTTCGACCGTCTCTGCCGCTAGGTAAAGTGGATTTCCAGTTTGAGCGCTGCTTTAGCAGATATAAGCCACTCACTGGTGCGTAACAACGTGCCAAGCATTTCCTCGTGTGCGCATTATTGTTTACGAGGCCCGGAAACTTCTGTACCTGTTTACCGCGTTGATGTCGAGACTGCGAGGGGTTAAGCTGACATCCGGGGGCCGCCTTTTTGTTCCTGGTGCAAAGGGGGCGCAGTTGGCGAACGTCGCGATTAAAAAGTGTGATGTCTCGTGCTCGAAGGTGTGGATTTGACGAGTTCGGGCATCGTCGTTCCGCCCCTTCGCGGACGTTTGTAATGCTTCTGGAAGACAGAAAAATATTTCCCACCATTTCAAGTAACTGGCAACTATGATTTTAAGCACTGAGTTGGCTCGAGTGCTTTCCTTTGAACCTTAGCTTGTTTTGTGGCACGAGATATGTGCACGTCACAGAAAACTTCCCGAAAAAAAAAAAAAAAAATTTTAGTGCTATATGTATCTTGTAGTTAGGAGGGATTATGATACATGCTTTTTTAATGTTGCGCTCAAAAATTTTTCTTTCTCTTTTTTTCGAGGAAAGTTTGCTCTGTGACGTACGCATCCTATCCAGGTACTTTCTTTAGTGGGGACACTACCCAGAAAAAATATATTTCTGCCAAAAAGGTTGATTTGAAAAATGCCATATTTACATCCACCAACATCTAAAGAGTATTCCCAAAAAATTTTATTAGTTTACACTGCATAGTTAGTTTTTTATAAATTATTTTTGGTCCACCAATGCTAAAGAAAAGGTAGAGGTTGGAGCACTTTGAACGTATATTTCTCAGTTCAGCTTTTTGGCAGCGAATCCCACCTTATAAAACCATCATTTCAGTATGAAACTATCGAGAGACTTAATATTTGCGGCTTATGTGCTGAAATTTGATGGAGCCGGTTACTATGAAATTAGATTTTGCATTTTCAATCCGTGAGGTTTTCCCGGAACTGCATTTCACTAGAGCAAAGGTTTTGCAGTATGCACGAGATGAAATGTACATTCTATGAGAAACAGTCGTTTATAACTTTGTCAAAAGTTTTCGAGCCAATGAAGAAAGAATTATGCGTAAAGAAAAGTAAGAAATATAGGGAACTCGCGAGTGTTCGATTAGCCGATGGGCGGTGCCACCACGTTCTGTTGTCATGGGAAATTTCGAGAGGTTTTTAACATACTCGGTCGTAAGCAGTCGCAAATGTGCAAATCAGCCTTTACTAAAAACTTTATTCCTTGAATTGCAGCTTTTTTTTTAAAAAATGCATATTCGGAACTCCAGAGTTTTGGCATGTATGGATAACAAGGAACACTCTCACAGAGTCTTGTCATTGTGCACTGAGAAATAATGTCAAAAATAATTATTCTTTATATGTTGGTGAGGAGTGCTGCACTGCGTAGCACTCATGATCCAAAAGTGAAAATAGCTGAAAGCAAGGTCAGTATATCAGAAGAAGCTTGAGGAAGACATCACCTAGACTGCTGGAAAGGATTTCCGACATTTAAGATGCAAAAATTAATTTTTAAAGCGTGTTCTTGAAACTTCAAGTGCATTTATCTCAGCTTCACTTTTTGGCAGCAAATCCCACCTTATAAAACTATCGTTTCAGTAGGAAACTACGGAGAGACTTGATATTTGCGGATTGTATGCCAAAATATTTTCGAGCCGGTTACTGTGAACTTAGATTTTGCATTTTCATGTTCCTTTATTATGAAAAATTGTAATTTGCAAAACTTGGCAAATGTAAAAAAAAAAAATTCATAATTTTTTTTTATCTGAAAAATGCATATTTTTTTATTTCTTTTTATAGTAACCGGCAACAAGCGTTTCAGTATGCATTCCACCAGAAAAATATGTGGTGATCAACACCATTTCTCAACGACAAATTCATTCAGCAGATTCCATGCAAAGCTACGCTTTACTTCGTTCTGGGGGTGTAGAACCTCATAAAATTGGTTCACAGGGCTGAAACTTTGCATGCCCTCCTTCTATATGGCTACAAACAGCACCTGCAAATTTCACGCCGATTGAGTGAGCGGTTCAAAAGTAGACATGCCCAGGTAGTGTCCCCCCTTAGTAAAGTGTTCATCGTAACCGACAACATCGGGCCTTGGTGTCGACTGCTTCGCAAGGCCAACTGCATTGCGGAGGGTGTTTTTTTCGTCGCATAAAGCTGAGTTTCTCCAGCTCAATCGTGTCGAGGAATGCCCGTCTCTCTCGATTGAGAGCCGAGGTACGCCTCCCGGTCTCGACGTTGACACAGTACAGTACCACAGAAGTTTATGGCCTAAACATCAATGTGTCGGATTGGAAGCGTCCGACACATAGTTACGTGTCGATTGGTGGCTCTGATCCACTGCAAAAGCGCTTAAGCCAGGAGAACACTTCACTAAAGGATACGGACGGCTGAGAAAATTTGGGAGCCCGGGGAAACTGTCGAGGGTAGCTCCTGGGTTCCTAGCGACCCCGTTTGAGAACCCGTGTCGTAGAGTGTCGGTACGATTCTGTCGTAATATTGTATTTTTTGGACTATAGTCCGCGGACTGTGCGCACTGAGAAGTTTACGTTTTAACGCAAAAGCGTTAAGGAGCTCGTGAAGCAGAAAAGTCGGTAGCGTGACGAGAAAATCACGGACGCGAAAATCCTGATTGGTCGATAGGGTCACGACATCTCAGCCACACGACCTCAAGTGGGAATTTCTAACTACGCTCACGTGAAACGTGACGTCACGCGTGGAATGAAAGTGATAGAAAGACGAGACATGTAATGCGAATTAAAGGTCGCTGCATGTCTCAAACGATTTCACTTTATGAAGTAATTCATTTGCCTTAAACGAAAAATTGAATAATTTTAGGCAGAATTTTATCCCACGAACCTTCGGTTGGGAGGCAAACACAATACTGACTTGGCCACTGTGTTCGCCGCACTTCCTGCTTACTGGCAGGAAGAGCATGAGAAGCGAATGAAAAGGCAACGCAAACGGGGCCCGATAACGCTATCGTGTTCCACTCTTAAAGGCGAAGCTTAAGTTTCCTTTAAGTTTTTATGTGGTGCAGACTCTCTACGAGCAAACTATAGTTACTTGTTTTTTCGAGGTTCTTCGTGACAAGGTGCGACAGATTTTGTGGATGACTGAGTATGTTATTGAGGATTTATGCGCAATAAGAGCTTTTTTGTGAGCTAATATAGTGGGCATTTGTCGAGGTTTGCGGCGTAAAAACATTTTTATGTGCAGACAAGGCATAGAAAGAATGTTTTTCCTATATAAGGAAAAACATTTTTTTTTTTTAGACTGAAATCCATTTTTGCAGACTACACAGGGACTATAGTCCAGAAAATACTGTGCTAGACAAAACCTGTCAACGATTTGTTTTTTTGGTGCGTTTTTTGTGCCGAACTTCACGAGTGCAACTTTCTCCACTTAGAAAGATGAGGAAAAAATACCTTTTATTACCGATTGCAGGGAGCGTGTTCAACTGGGATGGATTTTATATTCTAGCTTTTTACAAAATGATTATCGGTGGCTATCGAAATATAACCGAGAATAATTTGAGCTTTATTGGGGAAGGTGCTTTTAGCATTTATTTGACGGCACGCGACTACGAGACGTTTCTGGCATCCTGTGATTGAGACGCGAGGCTTCCTTTTCTCTTTGGAACAATGTACAAATATGCTTATAAATGACGACGGTGTGCGATTTGTGTGAATAGTAGAAATAATGTGAGACTGTAAACTGCCTACTGTAAATATTTATTGGCGTTAAGGTGGCGCGGACATATTTGCGAACTTTTGGTACCGTTCAGAGGAGCGTAGTCATAGTCACGACACCCCCGGTAGTTTTTCTCTCTCTTCGGTTGCTGTAAGAAAGCTTCAAATGTGGCGTGGCTAAGCCTGGCCTCTTTCATTGCTGGCGTGCGGCAGTTTTCAATTCCAGTCTGTTGCTCCATCTTGGTGCCGCCTCGACGACTTGTGAATGATGCATTTCATTTGAGCACACTACTATTGTAACTGGTTATGATGTCGTGGAATGGCAGAATGCGTGTTTTCTACGAGAACATTCTGTATAATGGTGACACCCGTATGGGCGAGGAACACTAGAGTTTCATATGTTAGTTATTCGCGTACGTTTTCAGTAACGATCGTCGAGATCAATGATGTGTCTATGCCCGTTTTCACCTCAAGAACCGTGGTAAAAAAAGTCCGGCTTCTCGCGGAGCTTTACTGATTTCCCCCTTTATGTAGAGAATTAAGATATATGTAGGTGAAATGTAGATTAGATATACGTTATCTTATTAAGACGTACACGTTCCAAACGTCAAAAGAACCACTTTTTCTTCGACAACCAAATCTCATAAGAACTACTTGGCGCCGCGCATCAACAATGCGCAAAACTAGCTTTTTTTCTTGAGGTGAAAACACATATAGCTAGGTACTTCAGATGGACATCCTTTTTTCTTTTGAAAAGCACTTCTGTGTTGTTGTTTTTATTTTTTGGAAGGGCAGAAAGTTAAAACTATAAATGTGTTTTACTGGTTTCTTACTTTGCTTAATGTTAAAGTAAATGAAGCAGTTTTGTCGAGACCCCATTCGCGGCTCGACCTTAACTGACTGGAAAATCTGCACGTTGCTAACAGCTAGGTACTAACTTCAGCTTGTATGTAATATATATAGATAATAGGATTGCTAGTCAAGGTATACTGTAATCACGTTTCTGCATCTGCTTCGCCTTGAAATGTTGAGTCATTGTGGTCTAACAGAGATGACTGAACACTTCATTTTGTTTAACCAGGTGTTGTGGTACTATGAAGGAAAAAACCAAAACATAGTAGTGACATAAAGAAAGCTCCGCACAGTTGCTTCTCTGTCTGTGCTTAGAAGCAGCGACAGATATTTTCTTCACAGTGGAAATGGATGTGTGGCCATTATAGGCATTAATGCGTGGCTGGTTCGAGATGCTATACATGGCTTCTTTTCTCGAAGAATTATTGCAGCAATTTTCACGGGCCAGCTTGGGGCAGCTATATCAGATATGCAGGCTTTATTTTTAAAATAAAAATGAATACTATGCCCATATTGCTTTGTCTTCATAATTACAGATTTCTTTTTTATCTTGGCTAGGGCCTCAAAGTCACCAAGTAATTGTCTTGGGTATATTTAGCCAGCGGGAAGTTAGTCAGCCCTAAATCTCTGTGCCTCTGCCCTTGATGTGAAGTTTTGTCAGTGCAGAACTAAATTTGTAGCATGTGGTCTTTGACATGCGTCATGCAGTAGTGATACGCGACTGCATGCCGGTGCGGCGCTCATCCAGATTGTAACGGAGAGGGGCAGGCATTGAACCCAGGATCCCTGAGTTCAGTCACTGAGAGATTATAAAGAGGTGACAAGAAATCTGAAACTCTGCCAAACTTGTTATCGCAGCAACAGCTAAGCAAAGATGACTGTCCTACCCAATCAGCAGTGTTTGCTTATCTCCCCCCAAAGGTAACTTGCCCCATTTCTGCAGAGACCACCACTTACCCTAACACTGTGATTACTAAAAGTGAGCTATCTTTCAGTGTTCTGAAAAAAGTAGCAAATCAAGCCAAAAATAGAGGGCGAGTTTCTTTTCGGGGATGGGACGTCTTTCCAAGATATATCACTGTAATAGGTATTGATGCAACTTTTTTTTTTTTTTAATACTTGGCATGATTGCAGAATGCTTATAAAAGGAATTAAGGCGGCTTCTAAAAATAACTGGCTTTTCTACTTGAATTTTATTATCTTCTTAACACAGAAACTTGAAAAAGTGCTTTCCTACTGCATTGCATTGTTCCATAGTGTTTTTCTTGTTTATTTTTTAAGATTTGGAATCATTGTTAAATGAGAAACCCAGCAAGCCAGTTACATTTTTTGTGTCTAACTCGGTTTACTATTAACCTTTTTCACAACTACGAGATGAAAACTCTTGCCGAAGAAACAAACTATAAATTCTCTTTCGGATGCATTTCTTTTTTTGGCAAACTGCATACTGGCAAAACCTGCATGCCCGAAATGGCTGCCGTTAGATCATACCCCAAGGGTGGAGAAATGAGGGATATGGGTAATTGATAAGAGCGTGTAAACATGACACAGGTTCTAAATCAGAAAGCAAGTCTCAAAACGGTAGTCGACATTTCATCGAAGGTCTTAGTTTCAAGACATCTTCTCGAAATTAGGGTGGGGCTGGTGTTTCGGGCAGGTTTTAGTTACAGCGTGGCCCGTTGACTTTTAAGCATTTGTCTTTTTGATGTTGGGGAGACCTTTTAATGCTGTGGTTGCGCAATGACTAGTGCTTTTTTTGTGCCGCCGGAACCGCAAGTGCCTTGTTAGCTTTGGTCAAAGTGCCCCTCGGTGGTTTGCCGTGCAATCTCTAGATTGTTTTTAACTAGAGTAAGGTTTTTCTCTCAGGTGGCTGCAGCCGTGCTTGTCGACCGATGGCACCGTCAGATTTGTGCTTAACAAATCGATCCAATTCGTTCTACCGCTGCCAACTTTAGTCCTTGCTATTTGTGACTGCTTGTAGCTAGGGTTCCGTTTTCGTGGGGTTTATGTTTCTCCGAATCGGGGATGTTTCTTCTCTGACTTTCTCCCGCAGATTCGGTGTTTTTCAGTATCGATTTTCGGTGTCGGGCAAAAAATTGCTTTTGTCGGGGCCCACGTCGAAGAAAATAGGGTTCCATAACCTGCACTGAACATGCGCGAGACCCCGAATACTTGGTAAACGACCCAGTACTGCTAAGAAAAATACATAAGAGGTGTGGTTCCAAAATAGCTTTGTGAGCTGTGTTCTAAGGCAATGCAAAACAAAGCTATAAATAAGAGATAGTTTTTGCGTGAAGCTCTGGTTTTTCTTATTCGAGGGAAGCTTCAATTCGAGGGTTTTTGGTTTTCCCCGGTTTGGAGGAGACTGGCTCAGGGATTAGGGGGGAGGGGATTCATTTTTGGGGTTTATCGGTATTTATCGAAAATACAGAACCCATACCAAGCAGTCGCCTTTGCTTGTTCGCCTGCCAGCTCCCCGGCTCTCGGTGAAATACCATCGTGAAGTGGGCGATACGAAAAGTGTGAATACCAATTACGTCGTGCCAGATGTTGGTGTACATTTTTTTTTGTAGGTATTGAAGAAAAAAATATTATACGGTATTATTCTGGCACAATTGCTTCCGTAATTTTTACATCTCTATATTTATTGCTAGCCTCTCTACGCATTTGATCTGTCTGAGGACACATTATGCCGAGGCATTTGTGCAGACTTGCCCGAATCGCTTCGGGGTAATCCAAGAATACCTCATTAAACAGCCTACGGTAAATCTTCCTCTCAGGGTAGTGGCCGACGGCTCAAGAGATGCGAGACGTTGCTTATCGGGTTCGGACTTCTCGCTTTAGGATTTGTTCTACGGCCACTGCCCCAATCTGACTGGCACGGAGCAAATAGGATGCCCTGAACTTGCCGCAGCCTGCTTTTCTTGAGCCGTCTGTGACCAGAGTAGTGCTGCTAGGGCTTTGCAAGTATTTCAGCTGCTCAGTGGAAACACTAGTATGCACTCCCACCCCATTTGAGTAGTCCTTGCTGCAAACATACTTTCTGTTTGGAGCTGCCGGACGGTACCGCGGCATTTGTCCCCAGTCTTATTCAACGGATTACGAACACTTACGCGAGATTCCCCATATTTTATTTAGAGAAGGAACACTAATGGTGCGATTACGAGGTGTGACATTTAGGATTCCTCATAAGTTTTGCTGTAGCCTTTTTTTTCAGTGCACTTAATTTTAGTTTTTCTTTGGCGGAGGACGTGCGTCAACTGCAGTAAACTGCGATGCATCAAAGTTGCAGAGTGTTTTCGCATAACGAAGTGGAAGACACAAAAAGTACCAAACTAGCACCAATCCGATGGAACGTGCGCAGTATCCAGCAGCTTCTCACGTAAGGAACCCTATGCGCAGATGGTGTCGGAACACGAACGAGCAATAGCCTTTTTTTTTTTCGCATGCTGCAGGCCAGGCGTTTGTTCCCTGCCCTTCTTGTTTTGTTACTATAGCAGAGTAAAAAGTGCAAGAAACTGCCACTTTTGCACAGCACCACGTAGTGTGCAGCCACACTTTTTGCTAGACCATAGGAGTGAATTATAATGTGGGGGAACGCTAAAGCGTAATAGCACCGGGCCATATTTATGTGAATTAAAAGTACATTGTGCATAGATGTATTTGCTTCAGTTACATATATGATTCAGACTAGGTATGCCTCCAGGGTTAGTTACCAAGTAATGCGCGTGTTCCAGACGATTGTCACTATACAGTCAAACCCGTTTTAACGAACAGCAGGAAACGCTATGATCAGTTCGATATAGCAAGTAGTTCGATATAGCAAAAACCATTTACGACGAACTTCCACGATGTGTTCGTTGTAAGGCAAGAGCTTCTCTTTCTTTCTTATCTCTTCACTTCTGCCTTGTAACAACGCACTGAAAAGTTTTTTTTGTTTTTCTTTTGCATGCATGCAGAGGTTTTTTTTTTAGCTTATCGCCTCTTTTGAATTGATACTCTTCGTAGGCAAACGCTTTGGAGTGAAAAGATTTTTTTTTTTCTATGTGTGCATGCAGAGTGTATTTTTTTAGCTTTCTCCCGTTCTGAGTTGCTTCTCTTCGGTCAATTTTGTTAGCAACTTGAGCTTTTGGAATTTTCTTTCTTTCCTACTTCTATTTTGGGGGAAGGGACAGGCTAGAAGACGATTGCTTGCACAGTTTTTGGAAGCCTTTCGGGGGGGGAATAAAGTTTGATATAGCCAATATGTTGTTCGTTATAAAAAACACTTTTTATGTGCATTTTTATTTAAATTTTCCGCGAGTTCGATATCGACAATAATTCGTTGTACGGGGGTTCGTTCTGAACGGGTTTCACTGTACTACCTAGTTTGATGTGGTACCTTCGACATGTCTGCTTCTATGTCAGCCTGCTTTTACTCTCATCCTTTTACCATATATGTTTGGGGACGAGTGCTCACGTTCATTGTCGCTCGATTCGAAAGTTGCATTTCGATGCTTGCACCGCTGCTTCGGTGGTTTGTTTAGTTTGCTTGTCGTTCATTGGCCCGTTCCGAAAATGTGCTGCTACCTATGCAAACAACTGAGCAGGTGTAAATAACTTGTTCCAGCTAGAGTGTGCCAACGTAGGAGGTTGTAAAAAAAATACATGTTTTATCAACACTGCAGTTCTTCATTCATAAGCAATTTTAAATGAAAATGTGTCATCTTATGTCTGAAAAAAACATGTTCTTTTGGATACATTCGTATCCTGTTGGTGGAATGACCATTTGGATGACAAATTATTAAGTTAATTGGGTGTTTAGTCTTCATCCAAACGGTTTTATTGAGCACAGGTTCTGTTTTAGTCTACTTATGCAGGACACGATTGTATTGAAGTTATTTATCTGAAAATAAATTTATCAAATTTATGAGCAAAACTTTATTCCTGTCAGTCTGTCATGCGCTTCTTCTATGGAGAACGGTTGTTCCTGAGAAATTCTTTGACGAAAACATTCTCTGCATAATTTGAGCCATGTTTTGTCGGCATGATGTGCAACTAAGGGTCTGTAGTAAGGTCATCATTTCTAGTCTTAGTGATCAGTTACTGCTGCATTTGCAGCGTATAATTGCTGCCATGTTTCCAAGTGTCAATAAACCGATTGTTACCTTCCGTTGTGCTTGTTCGTCACTGGCTGGGGAGAAGACGCTCGAAACGGATTTTGTGGATAACGTTGTTGACATTCCATTGAAGCATCTGCCATTTTCCTTCTTGTAATGCCTGTTCACTTATGCTTGAATTAATGTAAATGAACAGAAAAACAGGTAGCATCCATATGTTAACCACAGTTTTCAGTTTTACTAATTTCTTTTTCAAATAAAATACAAATTTCGGTTCACAAAAAAAAAAGAAAGGCTCGAGGTACACCTAAGCATTCCTTATGAGTTGTCAATGCGAAAGCATGCAAGCCGCTCGTATCGCTTCCTTATTTCGTCTGCTGCATACTTTTTGTCGCCGGTCAGTGCACGTGCTCCTCTGGTAACCTTGGACGCTCCGTGTTAACGGCGCGCTGATGGACATGCAGTGCTATGGGGTGAGTGGTCGTGGAAACTTACAAGCGCAGCGGCCAATGGGAGCCCCATCGACGTGCGCCAGCCAATGGAACTGAAGGCGAAATCGCGGAAACTAGGTGCCGTTTTCGCGCTTCAGACTGATGACGGCAGCTCGCTTCATGGAACCAGTTAATGCTTCTGCATTAAAAAAAAAATCAATTTATTGGTACTTGTAGAAACAGCACTAAAAAACACTGACAGAGCAGAAGCATGCAAAACAGCATTCGTCCTGTTTGCGTGTTTTCTCTGCCTTCGTCCATGTTCTAATGTTAACTGGGGGTCCCGTGGAGTGAGCGGACGTCATCGGTTTGAAGCGCGAAAACGGCACCTAGTTTCCCCGATCCCAAAGGACCAAAGTAAAGCTGATGGACTTCGCCTTCAGTTCCATTGGTTGGCGCGCATCGGCCACTGCACTCGTCAGTTTCCACGACCACTGACCCCATGGCACTGCATGTCCATCAGCATGCCCAGGGGAGCATGCGCGCTGACCGGCAACGAAAAGTATGCAGCAGACGAAAAAGGGAGCGGATGAGCGGCTTACATGCTTTGGCATTCACAACTCTTAAGTAATTCTTAGGCGTACCTCTAACTTTTTTTGCGCTGTTTCTACATTATGGTCAATGAAGATCAACTAGCCCAACTCTCGATGTTACTTATTGGTACTTATTATTTCCCTGAAGCTACAAAAGCGCGTGAAACTAACAAAAATAAATAGGTAATGAAGTGAATGAGTAAAATAAGGAAACACTCGGCACTACAAAAAAATGCTTTTCTAAGGATGCCACAATCCTTTCTGATCATAGTCTGCAGTATCTACATGCCAAGTAATGCTTCATTTATTTTTCTATCAACGTAAATGTAGGTATGTATAACATTTATTAGTAACATCCTTGTGACCTATCGCTATATTCTTTAGATACATTTACTTTTATCTTAATTATTTCTTTAGATGCTTTTAGCCTGCACTCAAGCTTACAGAAAAGACTGCTGAAAAAAAAAAAAAAAAAAAATGTTGACAATACCTGAAAAAAATGTTCTACAAAAAAAAAATAATCCCGCTTCACTATACATTTTTTGCTATAAAGGCTGCTTCACACGCTTTTGTTCGGTTGTAGCCAAGTGCACTGAAAGGGGTCATGAAACGATTTTCCTACTTCTTCCTCCTTAGCTTTAATCCTCAACTCAAATGCGAATTGTGAAATCACATCCTCGTGACATTCCTTCGGCACCGGTGTGATCACTCCTAGCTTCCACCGTGCTTTTTATGCACAGCATAGAACTTGTCATTCCCCAGTGACAATAAGTTCCGTCAGGGTGCTCATTGGCCACGAACGCGAATCCAAATATTCGTCGACCGATTGATTGTTGACGAGCGCATACGTCCGAGTGACGCAGTTCTCGTGTCCAATACGTGAGCTGGGCTCTGCTGACGTCAGTTTGGCGCCGGTGACGCGCTTCTGGAACCGCGGATGTATCATAGTGAAAAGGCGGAGAGCTTTCGAAGGCAAGAAGGTACAAAATAGTCCGCTATATTTTCAAATGCTCGTACCAAAAAGCTGCTCTCTCTAGCCTCTTTCTTTTGGCCAACAAAACAACATGCGATTAGTAAAGTCCCAATTTAAAATCATTCATCCCAACACAAAATTCGTTTCATGGCCCCTTGAAGCCTTGGGATCCCCTACAGCAGTTGTTCTCAAACCAGATTCCGTGGAACTCGGAGGTTCCGTGAGCTGGTCTCATGGGTTCTGCAAGCACCCAAATTGCAGTGCCCCCCTCCTCCTCTAGTATAACCTTCCACGGACCGAGCCAGGCATCGAGTTGGTGTTGTGGACAAAGCAATCTCTTCCTTCGCACTAACATGTATAGTATATATTTTACATTGTACTCCAGGTTAACCCCTTTGCCTTCTCATTCTGTCTTATTCCGTCGGTGCAATAAACTCTCGTTCACTATTTATACATCTTTATTGCCCAGTATTATCGCTTGGCAACAAGTGGGGAGGGCTTGAGGCTTGCTGGGGTTTCCTGGGACGAAGAAGTTTGAGAATTTGCTTTACGGCAAGAGAATGCACTGCTACCCTGGCACCGTCATGAGGCAACCCTGCAATCGCATTTAACTAGAGCGAAGGTTCTGCAGTACTTGCGAGAACAAAAAATGTATGTGCTGTCCATGAGAAATGCTGTTTTATAACATTGTTAAAAGATTTTTCAGCTCGTGGTGAAAACATGAAGCGTAAAAAATAAGTCTTGCAAGCTATCCTGAGAGGTCCAAACGTAACAACAAACTTGTTGCGAAGCGCAGAAACAGCAACGACACTGCAGTGAATCGAGCATCATCGTCGTTTATTCGGAGAGACCTCCCGTTTTGCGCGCTACAGAACAGGCAGCTTATGTACATCAATGTACAACAGGCTACGAGGAGGACGGGATCCCAAAGAGCCGATTGGAATGTCGCATATGTACACGCACCAAGCGGACAAAAACCAGAGGTGAAGCAATGGCACCAAAACAGCCCCAAAACGAAAACTGGAGGCAGGCTTTTTCGCCCATGGTGGTCGGTGGGGGGAAGTTTCTACGAGCTGCACCGCCGGAAGGAGCGTCGCCAATCGTCGAGTTCGGAGAGACCCTTGGATTTGAGAGCGTCGTCGGTCAAACTCGGTTAGTGTCTTCAGCCGTGGTCACCCTGCTAATATGTCGTACAAAAGACTGTCTGCAAACAGTTCGAAGCATACGAATGTATGAAGGGAACATTCTTGGACCATGCCGAGATGTTTCCACACATACTTCTGCCATCGCGTTCTACAGCAAACACAGTCTTTTGTTTGATGTATGAACAGTAGAACTTTGATTTATAGACTCTTTTTATGGCACAAGCTCGAGTCTACGCACCCTAATCAGCCTCAAAAATCCAAAATTAGGGTAGAGCGTGGTTGTTTTCCGTGCTGAAAATGAGACTAAACGTCGCGACGAGCCCTTTCGTATCTTGGAAAAAGGATGTGTCGTAACGCGCTTCCATTTCTGAGACGCATCTCTGAAAGGGAGCCAATTGCGACGGGCCTCTTTATATGAGTATCACTCGAAAAAAGGGGACATCAATATGTCTGATTGCGCTTTTAATGGGGGAGAAAGCTAGGCCACGCATGATCATACTTTTTTGGATGTTCTGGAATGCTCAGGGTACGTAAACTGAGTTTGCGCCGCAAAAAGGCAATCATTCAATCGAATTAAGACGTTCGTAAGGTCACCAGTGAAAGGAAGGCCCGAAATAACGGCGAGGCAGCATTTCATTTTGGATCAGGTTCGACAACACTAGCCTAACAAGAGGCAGGCACCCGTGCCTTTTCGACGCTGTTTCTGGGCTCCACGACGCCGAGAAGTTTCTGGGCTCCACGAGCGGTGAAACGTGCACTGAACAGTGCGTCGCCCAAATGGAGTAGTACCGCGATCTATGTGCCTTAAAGAAAGCCCAACACACAAAAACGTTGCACTCTAACTCCATTCCCCCATAAAAAAAAACAAAAAAACTGCAATCACTCTTTTTGGGCTTGGCTCGTGAAAATTCAAATAAACCTCAATTCAACATGCTCTCATTGAATTGAAGTGAAGGTGAAGGGTTTTGGATCGTATCCTTTACAAAACTGAGGTCGCAGTACTTCGCTATCCTCACCGAGCTAGCGAGGCGATTTGTGTATTAGGACAACGCAACTTTCTCTCCAAAACCCTTCCCCATATCCATGTTCATTTCTACCGACCCTGTGGTTAAAGAAATAAGTTGCTTTAGCAAATTCTTTTTTTTCTTTCTTCACACATTTGACATTTTTTGCGTGGTACAGATGCGGTGCTTCCTCCATTTGAAGAAAGTCTAAATTTCTTTTAAAATGGATCTCTACGTGCAGGTGAATCCATCTTGGGCCAAAAGGGGGCATGGAAAAAAAAAAGTATTTTCCAACAACGGATGCCTCCTTCGTAAAAGCTATCTCTCGAAAAGGCACAGGAGACGGGGCAACACAGAGACACCGTAACCAACACATACCAGATAATGAGGCGGCACTGCTGGATTTTCTATATCGCCCACGCCAGTGGCCAACACAGAGCACAGAATGCTTACGCAGCACTTTCTTTTTTGTTTTTGCAATATTGCAGATAAAGGGGGAAATTCAAGCAGGAGAGGTATATAATCATTAATATAAACAATATATTTTCATACATGCGTATATAAAAATAAAAAGAACATACAGTATGTTCTAGTAAAGCAACAACAAAACACCAAAGTGAAAAGAAAACAATAAACCTGTGCCCCATGCTGGTTTTCCATAGGCAATAGACAAAACGCAATGCTACAGCCCGGTTATGTAGGAGGTGTCGCACTAACACCGCCGGGTACAGGGAGAGATGCGGCGGAGCAGGTGACAATTTCATCTCACTCTTTCGAGGGGAGGGGGGAAGGGGTTTTTGTTTGTTTTTGGTTTCCGAGAAAGAGAAAAAAACATCCTGTACAAACTTACAGATTATATAACAAGCGTACGGTCGCCTACGATGCAAAATGGGTCGCACCGTACGGAAAAAAGAAAAAGGTCGGCTCAGCATACGCTGCGCTTGGCCAGTCTTCCGCGGCTCAAAGTTGCAGCGTCTGCAACCGTACGTACACAGCGTATAGAAACTACATTTGCCTCGAGTGGCAGGGGCTGCCCCGTTCTTCGGGGCGCTCCAAGAAACCTCCGCGACGCAACAGAGGCGTCGCGGACTACATGCCGCCGTCACCCGCAGCTTGGTCGGGTTGCTGGATCGGCTTGCGAGTCTTCTCTCCTTTCCTCCAGAGCACGATTTCCTGAAGGCAAAGGTGAAACCCAAATTTTAACATGGAACGCATTATGGGACTGGCTCCTGGCACTTTCGTGTAACACAGATACCTGTCGTGAAAGAGCGTTGCAAGATAAAACATTTACAGTTTTTGTTTTGCTTTTTAATCAACTCTTTTTAGCAAGATATAAGACAGGTGCAGCATTTTACGGCATTCTGAAGAAATGCTCAGTTTGGACACGTTTCTAGGTTTCGGTTTCTCATTGGAGAGCATCTTTGCACCAGCGGTCCTGCTCCCCTGCGGTCGCGGCGCGAAGCCAGGCCCTCACCTCCCTCGCAGAATGGAGGGAAGTAAGGTGCACGTGTGTTGCACGTCTCGGTGACTGCGGAGCAGGACCACGGGTGCAGAGATGCGCTAAGATAAGAAACCGAAACCTAGAAGCACGTCCAAATGTAGCGTTTTTACGTAACTCCGTAAAATACTGCCCCTGTGTTATAGCTAGGGTGACCACCCGTCCCGAGTGGCGGGACTGTTCCACATTGAGGGCTCGTGTCCCGCGTCCCGCAAGAAATTCCCAAATCTTCAAAATGCCCTGCATTTCACACTGTCGTAAAATTCACTACGCAACTCATGGCGCTGCTAAACGACGGGGCACGGGGAAGCACGATGGTACACCATTTTCTATGCAAGCATTGCAGGAAGCGACCATAAATCCTGCAGAACGACGTGCATGTGCCGTTGTGACTCTCTTTTCTTGGTGGCAAAGTATTGCGAAAATTGCTCGCCAAAAGTTAAAAAATAAATCATTGTAATTATTTTCAAATCGTGGTGTCAATGTAAAAACATTGTGGTAAAAAGTTTTTTTTTTGTGAAGACGATTACACAAGGTGAAGAGACTGCAATTCAGAACGCTCAAAAACAACAACATAAGGGTTCAAAATTTGTGTAGGAGCATGTTGGTAAAAAGAAGAATCGACAGGAAAGAAGAGGCCGTAAAAGATTTCTGCTTCTTCTATCCTTTTGATGCATTAAGTTCTGCTGCAGTCAATTTTGTTTTCAACTTACACATTTATTAACATATGTGACATTAAAACTTGAAATATATCACTGGGAGTGAAAGTTACTTGAGCTTAATTGCCACAATACAATTTGCAACCGTATAATATCCTTTCGGACAAGACAAGATATTAAATGTGTTAGAAGAGCCACATTTCGTGGCGTGTGTTGATGAATTTCCTCGGATAGTTATTTTATTTTTTCTACAATCTTTTTTTAACCCGAGACTAGCTGGGGCAGAAGGAGAAAAAAAAAATGTTTCATCCTCCTGCCCTTCTCATTTTAAAAAGCATCATGGTAAATTTCCACCAGCTCGATTGCGCACCAGCTCCTTTTTTACAGTTGCCGCAGTTAAAATATAATACCATTCTCTTACAACCCTCGGTCAGCGTGTCCCGCATTTTGCTAGCAGGAGGGTGGTTACCCTAGTTATAGCTTTCTAAACAGAGTTGATTTAGTGGTTTTCCATGAGGCTCAGCAAGTTTCTAATTGAAATTATCTGTCTATTTTCACTAATTAAAAAGTTAATTAACGCATTTTAATTAATTAGTTGACTGATCATTATGATTAGCCCCCTGGCCGTATAACTCACCTGCACAAACCACATAAGTGTAGCTTTCACAGCTTTTTTTAAACAAATCTCTTAAGCTTAAAAAACAAAACAAAAAAAAACACCCTGTACGACGGATTGTGCCAGTTGGCTATTTACAGGGTGTTTTTCTAAGGCTTTACAAAAATGTTTAAAAAAAAACGCTGTGAAAGCTGCATTATTTCGGTTTGGGCAGGCAAGCTACACAGCCAGGGAAATATAATATAGAGGGGGTAATCATCACAGTAAGTCCAACGACTAACTAAAATTTATTTTTTAATTAGTGAAAATAATCATATGGTTCCAATTAGAAACTTGCTGACCAATGGAACTTACCTAATCCATTGATTTCAGCTTCACTGCTCTCCATTGGGAGCGGGAAAACTAGGTGCCGTTTGGCTAGGCTTTTCGCGCAACTTCAAAGCTAGGAGCCACCAGATCGCGGCTACACTTGGAGAAAGGAGCTTAGGTGCCATTTGGCACGGCTTCAGAGCTGATGACGTCGGCTCGCTCCATGGGACCCAGTTAATGCTTTCGCATTAAAACTGCGCAGGGGTGTTTTTGCACCGCAGCCTTACGCCCGTTACATGAATGGGAACTTTAGCACGCCTCCATGCTTCCCACATTTCTAAAATGTACTCTTCCAGTAGTTTTCGATGACACTCCGCAAGTTTCTAATTGGAACCATATGTTTATTTTCACTAATTCAAAAATGTTAGTTAAATTAAATTTCAGTTCATTATCGGACTTATCGTGAAGATTAGCTCACTATATTACATCCCCTGGCTGTATAACTCACCCGTACAAACAGCAATAGTGTGCCTTTTGCAGCTTTTTCTATACAGATTTCTTCGAATTAAAATCAAATGCCCCGTATATCGCCGTACACTGCACACGAGTCTTGTCTGCCCCACCTGCTGCTTGAAGTAGCGTCGTTCCTCTTCGTCCACGAGAACGAGGTTGAGGTAGTAGCGCACCGAGAACTTCTTGTTGATGTCCTTCATGGTCGGCGTCAGGTCGTAGCCGGCCAAGAACAGACGGATCGGTATCGACTCCCCTGCAAGAACACGCACTTCCTTCAGTCCGCACGGCCAGCAAGTCGGCCAAAACGCGTCCCTTCGTGCACGAGGGGGGAGGTACGAGAAAGTGAGGAGTCTTTCCGCGCCTCAGATGGGAGGAGCGAAAAGCTGGGAGGGAGTGATCACATGCACAACCAAGAGAATAGCGTATGCTGCAACTTTGTCCACTTAACCCCCACCACTCTTCACAGGCATATGGTAAGAACTGCGCATTAGTACTATTGCAGCTTCAATGCATTTAACTGATGGCCTAAACCAGACAGTCCTTTTGAGTACCTAGTACCCTACACAGATACCTTTCAGAGTTGAATATTTACTACATACTCTACTCACTACAGCATGCTCATGAATCTGGATGAAGCCTTCAAAAGGACAGCATAAATTGGCTTGGTAACGTATCATGCTACGATTTACCACGAAGGTGCCTGAAGGTGGTGCAAGCATTCAATCAAAATTACAAAGAGCAAACTTACCCGAGTAAGAAGTAAAAAAACAATAACAAATTTTTTCTACCTACAGTGCCCGTCTGCTATCCACACACCCTCTGACTGGCGCAACAACCGACAGATGGCGGCGGCGGCCCCTGCGTAACCTTACCACCCGATCATACCAAAAGCAGACTATGTTTCTGAATAAAAATGGACGCATCTCCACGTGGTGAACGGTGTTGATTGGGGATTGTTGTTGTTGTTTGCGGTTTTAATGGCGCAAGAGCATCAATGGCCATACTGCGCCAAACAAGGTGAGTCAGTAAAAAAGGGTGAGTAGAATTAAACTATGGGGAGCAGAATAGTTCTAAAGTTTGTTTAAAAATCCGGTATTTTCAAGGAAATCAAAAAGACGTTTGAATGAGATTAGTGGCCGCCCACCAAGCAGCAAGGCAGGGTGGAATGGAATCCGATACTTGAAAAGATCAGGAAAAAAGAATTTGTGCTGCTGCCGAAGACCAGGACAAAGAAATAAAATATGAACAACAGTCAGAGGTTCACCGCAGCGCTCACAGGCTGGAGGTTCTCCACTAGTAGGCAGGTAGCTATGGGTGAGGTAGGTGTGGCCGATTCTCAGGCGGCATAGGAGGACCTCGTGGAATCTATTTTTATTGTAAGATGTTTCCCAGGTACCAAGGTCTGGCTTGATGGTGTGAAGCTTATTGTTAACCTCTACATCCCACTCAGACTGCCACGATTGCAAGACTGCAAGTCTTATAGGCATTTTTAAGTCTTGGTGGGGGATGCGGACATGTGACATGGAAAGATTTTGCGAAGAGACGGCCAGTTTATCTGCAGCCTCGTTGCCTGCAATGCCCACATGGCTAGGAATCCAGCAAAACCTAATGTCGCGCCCATCCTGTAGGCCCTGCTGTACCTTAACACGCACAGTCCGGGTCAGCCGATTCTTAGTTGATAAAACAGAACAAATAGCCCGAACAACACTCTGAGAATCTACAAAGATGATGGCTTTCTTAATTTTACTCTGAACTATATGGTCAAGCGCCATCATGACCCCATACAGCTCGGCAGTAAAAATACTGGCAAGAGTATTTAGACGAGCGACTTTGGAAAAACGAGAAGAGTATACAGCCGCACCAACATACATTGACGACTTTGCACCATCAGTGTAATAATGATTATAATCTTTGTATTTTTCCTTCAATGCAAAGAATTCCTGTTGTAAAATTAAAGGTGAGACTCTTTGCTTCCTGAATTTTGTGAAGCACCAGTTACAAAAAATGGGTTTGACATTCCATGGGGCAGTATGGTATGAACTATTCAAGAGGTTAAAATCAAGAGTCACATTGAGGGAGGAGCGAAGACTCTCGACACGAAAGCTCAAGGGCCGCACAACAGTTGGCTTATGGTTAAAGAGGCGAGAAAACCTAGTTTTGAATACAACTATAAGTGGGGGAGCTGGGGTTCGACAAAATTTTGTAAACATAGTTGAGGCTAAGTAGCTGTCGCCTTTTTTCAAGCGACATTTCATGACAGTCAACATACAAGCTAAGCACAGGGGAGGTGCGAAAAGCACCAGATGCCAAACGCAGCCCAAGGTGATGTACTGGATCGAGCATTTTTAAAGCAGACGGTCTCGCAGAGGCATAGACAATTGAGCCATAGTCAAGGCGGGATCGAATGAGCGAAGAATATAGACGAAGGAGACATTTCCTACCCGAGCCCCACGACTTGTGCGAAAGAACTTTGAGTATGTTCGATGCCTGCAGAGTTTTTTGCTTGAGTTGTTTGAGGTGCGAAACAAAGGTAAGTTTACGGTCGAAAGTAACTCCTAGAAACTTGTGCTCCGTTTTGACAGCAATGTTGTTTCTATTTAACAGAAGTGTAGGATCTAAACAGAGGCCACGCCTTAAAGGCCGGCCCGCAAGCAGAGAGAAGGAACCCGACCCTCACTTTCCTTCTCGCCACTGTAAAAGGAGGAAATCGCCTCTCGTTTCCTCCTCGCCATTTTCCGACTTTTTTTTTTTTTGCAACTGCCTGTTTTTTTGTTTTTTTTTTACAAGTTTGGGGTGGAGGAAATGAAAGCTTCAAGGATTTGAAAAGATTATCCAGAAGCCAGCCGGCACACCTGCGACAAGGAGCTGAACCAACCAAGTAGCTGTTTTGAGCGAGCTTGGCACTTGCTCTCCCCAACGAGTTGCATTGGCTCTTTTTTAAGCATTGGTTTGGAAGACGATTCTTTGCTGTTCTGAGAGCACAAATGCCTTGCTTTGCTCAAAGAAGTAGTCATTGAAGTATCAATTTTAATATAAATATCTGATTTGGCATCTTTCGTTGTTTAGGCGGATTCATGGCGACAACGGGAAGTACGAGCGGCGTTTTCTGTATATCAGGGATGGCCCTCCATAGACCAGTGATTCTGAATCATTATGGTTCGTAAACCGGCAGAGGTGACGGAGGATCCCATCCGTAGTGGGTCTAGTACTTTTCGGTGTAGAGCGTTTTGCTGTAGGGCATTTCGGTGCGGACTTTTTGGTGCATAGACATTTCAGTGTACGGACTTTTTGCTGCAAAGACTTTTCGGTGTGGGACTTTTCGGTGCGCGGATATTTCGGTGCACGGACATTTTGATGCATGGACATTCGACGCTATGGTTTGCTCGCCGGTATCTCTTTTCCAACGTACGCAGACACGCTTCACATCGTGTTTGTGCGTTGAGTTGATAGAGATAGTCTCCTCTATAAGGTTTTGGCTTTATTATTGGTCCTGCGTGTAGGATACGACCCAAACAGCAAGACGTTTGAAGTTGTTTGTGTATTCAGAACAATTTTAAATATATTCAAATGCGCCTCCTCCGCGTAATCGCATAGCTCCGATTGCTAATAATAAATTGTGATGACCTCGCACAACAAAAAAAAAAAAAAAAAAAAAAAACAATGTAATGATCACTTGTAACTCATTAGGGAATGAAGTAGGCGTGTGCGGGTACAAAGTAAGTGTAATCACATCAAATATCGATTTGAATCAAGTAAACAAGCCGAATTTGGTGAGTGCTAAATCAATTTTATTTGGTATCAAAAGTTTGCTCATTCTCGTACGAAAAAAAAAAAAAAACAGTGACCACAGATCATACACAGAGGATGATCTGTGGTCAACGTCTCCTTCCATGCCGTAATGATGTCGCCGGACGTAAAGAACTGCCTTACAATCGTGCTATACAGGGCGATTTTTTTTTTTAACGACTAGACATTTTTTTAAAAAAGACGTCAGAGTTACTCAATTGCGGTTTGTGCCTTATCTGTAGTCATCAAAAACACCAAATCATTCATTTTTAAACAGATGTAGTGGACGTGAAGTGGCTCACGACGTCCTAAAGTGCCTAATTTGGACGCGAATCGTGTTACCGCAATCTTTTCGGCCACCGCACTCCTCGCCCCTTCTACAGTGGCGTTGTCACAGCGATGCGCATGATTTGTCGCTTTGGCTTTATGGCGTTAGGCTGTGCCACGCGGAGATGGAGCCCACATAAAATCAGAACTATATTTTCGCGCCCAAATTAGGAGGACGCCGTATAATAGTGTACGCGCGTTACATCTTTTTTAGAATGGACGGTTTGGTGGCTTGCGATTATGGCCAACAACTTTCTAAATACAAGATACCGTTTTATTTTCTAATTAAAAGGTTAATTAGCGAATTTTAGGCAATCGGTCGGTTTTAGTTGCGTTCGTTATTGAAACTAATCCTCGCCTGGCCGTATAGCTCACCTACACAAACCGTAATGGCGCTAATTTTCACTGGACAATTTGGTGGCTTTCGATTACACCCAACAACTTTATAAATCAACTATCCCGTTTTCTTTTATAATCAAAATGTTCATTAACAAATGTTAGGTAATCAGTCGGTTTTTGTTGCGTTCTTTCTTGGACCCAATCTTCGCCTGGCCGTATAGCTCACATCCACAAAACGTTAATTTCCACGTCTTTTCTAATATCTAGTAGGTGAAAAAAAAATAAATAAATAAACGTTGTATATAAACAGAGGGCGGTTCTTTTCTTATACAAATAAAGCGTGGGGCACGCGTCTTGCATGCATCCCTTTTTTTTTCCAGCCTATGAAAACAAATCCCGGGACATTCGAAATTGAGTTTATTATGGGGCGGGCGATTTATCACGGGGTATTTTGTCATGTTTAATAAGCTTTATTACTAGTCAGAAGAAAGCCACGCGAGCCGTATCACGTTGCAAACAGCTAATCGGGTGTTTCTCAAGCAGCTCTAGAACTTTCCAATTGACATTTTGGTTCTTAATACATCTAAAAAAGTTTGGTACTTAGTCCTAAACATTTAATTTATTAGGCATAATTAATATACTGCAACTCTCGCAAGACGCCTGCCCAAAACATAACGTTGGTTTCATTGGCGTAAAGTGGCTGCGTCTTTCATTTTTATGCTTGGTCTTTAAAGATTCGTGAAAAGCATTCGCGACCTTATCTGTCAAGCCGCGTACGCGGACAGCGCGGCCTCCTCGGCA